TTGTCTTATTGCCTAGAATCTATTTCGGCTAATGTTTTATGTGTACCTGGAAAAAAATATACATTCTTCTGATATTGAGTGGAGTTTTCTATAAATGTCAACTAGATCATGTTAGTTAACAATGATGAAGTTTTCTATATCCTTGTAGATTTTCTCTCTACTTGTTCTTTCAATTACTGTGAGAATTGTACTGAACTCTCCAACTATAATTAAGGATTTATCTATTCCTCCTTGCAGTACTATCACATTTCACATATTTTGAAGGTCTGTCATTGGTTGTATAAATGGAATTTTTATGTTCACTATATGAATTTACCCCTTTATTATGATGAAACATTATTTAATCCTAGAAATGTTCTTCGCTCTGCAGTCTACTTTGTCAGATATTAATATAGCCACTTTGTTCTGATGAGTCTTTTGCCATTCCTTTACTTTTAACTTATTTGTGTCGGTCGACAGATAGATAGATAGATAGATAGATAGATAGATAGATAGACAGACAGACAGACAGACAGACAGACAGAGAGACATTTTTTTCTGAGATGGAGTTTCACTCATCACCCAGGCTGGAGTACAATGGGGTGATCTTGTCTCACTGCAACCTCCATCTCCCGGGTTCAAGCGATTCTCCTGCCTCAGCCTCCCGAGTAGCTGGGATTCCAGGTGCCCGCCACCATGCCCAGCTAATATTTTGTATTTTTAGTGGAGACAGGGTTTCACCATGTTAGCCAGGCTGGTCTTGAACTCTTGATCTCAGGTGATCCACCAGCCTCGGCCTCCCAAAGTGCTGGGATTACAGGCGTGAGCCATCACGCCTGGTCTTGTGTCTTTATATTTTAAATGTGTGTCTTGTAAGCAGCATAATGCAGATGTTCCCTGACTTAATTTGGTTCAATTTACAATTTTTCAATTTTACAATGGTGCAAAGCCATCTCAACTTTGATGTAAGGTACAATATTCAATAAGTTATATGAGCTATCCAGCACTTTATTATAAAGCAGACTTTGTATGAGATTTTGCCCAATGGTATGCTAATAATGAGCACATTTAAGGTGGGCTTAGGTGAAGCCATGATGTTCAGGGGCTTAGGTATATTAAACATATTTTGGCTTATGATATTTTTAACTTACAATAAGTTTATCTGGATGTAATCCCAAAGTCAGTTGAGGAGCATCTATAGTTGGATGGGGCTTGTTTGATCTGACAATCCCTGCTGTTTAATTGGGATATTTAAACTATTTATATGTTATGTAATTATTAAATATAGTTAGGTTTAACTCTTGCAATTTGTTTTATATTTGTTCCATCATTTCTTTGCTTCCTTTTGCCTTTTTTCTACATTCCATTCCATTAAATAAATACTATTTATGATTCCACTTATATTCTTTGTTGGCATTAGCTGTTACTCTTTGTTTTTCCTTTTAGTGGTTGCTTTAGAGTTTATCATACACATTTTTGACTTTCATGGACTACCTTCAAATGATATTATACTAGTTTACATATATTATAAAATATCTTACATTAATATACTTTTTTTTTTTTTTTAAGACGGAGTCTCACTCTTTCACCCAGGCTGGAGTACGGTGGCACAATCTCGGCTCACTGCAACCTCCACCTCCTGGGTTCAAGCAATTCTCCTGCCTCAGCCTCCCAAGTAGGTGGGACTACAGGCGCGTGCCACCATGCCCAGCTAATTTTTTTTTGTATTTCTAGTAGAGGCGGGGTTTCACCGTGTTAGCCAGGATGGTCTCGATCTCCAGACCTCATGATCCACCCGCCTCAGCCTCCCAAAGTGCTGGGATTACAGGCGTGAGCCCCCGCGCCTGACACATTAATATACTTTAATTTCTCCCCTTCCAGGCTTTATTTTATTGTTGTCATCAATTCTACTTACATGTTACATTATTATTTTGTTTAAACAATTATCTCAAAGTGGTTTAATGTTTTAAACTATGTGAATTTACCCATGTAGTTACCCTTTTCAGTGTTCTTCATGACTTTGTGAAGATCCATGCTTCCATTTGGTGTCACTTTCCTTCTGCCTTACAGACTTCCTTTAGTATGTCTTACCCTGTGGGTCTGCTGCTGATGGATTCTTTTTAGCTTTTCTATATGAGAAGAAGTCTGTTTTTGTACATAAGAAAAAGAGATTTTCACTGGGTGTAGTAGTCTGAGATCACAGGTGTTTACTTTCAGTATTTAAAGGTATTGCTCCGTTGCCTTCACACGTGCATTATCTCTAAAGAGAAATATATTGTCATCTTTATCTTTGTTTCCTTGCCTGTAATATGTCTTTTTCTTTGGAAACTTAAGATTTTCTCTTCATCATTGTTTTCAAATAATTTTATTATGGTGTGCCTTACTGTAGTATTCTTCATGTTTCTTGTGCTCTGGCTTCATTGAACTGCTTGATTCTGTTGGTTTATACCATTCATAAAATTTGGAATTTAGGACCATTTTTCAGGTGTCTTTTTCCATTCCCCTCTCTCCTCCAGAGATGAGAATTGCGTATGTTAGGCCACGTGAAGTTTTCCCATAGCTCACTAATGCTTTTCAGTCCTTGTTATTATCTTTTTACTCCGTTTCATTTTGAATCTATGTCTTCAAGTTCATTCATCTTTCCTTATGTAATACCTAATATGCCACTAATCCCAACAAGTGTATTTCTATCTCAGACATTGTAATGTTCATGTCTAGATGTTTAATGTGGGGCTTTTTTAGATCTTTAATGTTGCTACTTGATGAATATCTGTAACACCGTTGTAGTAACAGTTTTAATGTCCTAGTCTGCTGATTCTAACACCGTTGTCTGTTCTACGTTAGTTTCAAATGGTTCATACCATGCCTGTCATAGGTTATATTTTCTTGCTTCTTTACATGCCTGATAATCATTGATTGGTTGCCAGACATTGCAAGTTTTACCCTGTGTGTTGTCGAATATTTTTGTATCACTCTAAATATTGAGGTTTGTTCTGGGATGCAGTTAAAATATTTAGAAACAGTTTGGTCCTTTGGGGTCTTAGTTTCAAGATTTCTTAGGTGGAAGCAGAGCAGTGTTCACTTTGTAGTTAATTACCCCTCACGACTGAGGCAAGACCCTGGTGAGTGCTCTACCCAGTGCTCCATAAATTAAGAGGTTCCACTGGGAGGCAGAGCTTGCAGCGAGCAGAGATCGCGCCACTGCACTCCAGCCTGGCGACAGAGGGAGACTCTGTCTCAAAAAAATATATAAATAAAATAAAAATTAAAAAATTAAGAGGTTCCAGTCTGCCTGGCAGAATAGACATCATCACTATTCCTGTCGTGTGCGTCAAGCACTCGTCCCTCTCATCTTTCTGTGTTGTTCTCCCAGGATCTCATGTCGTCTCCTCGCACGAATGCACTGATCTGAACACTCTGCTGAATACTCCAAAGGGACTCTCTGAGGATCTCTGTGGTTCAGCTGTGTCCCCTCTGGACTCTCGCTGCCCTGGTCTCCCCAGACTTTCAGCTTCATCCTCTCAACTCAGAGTGTCTCATGGGCTCTGCCGGGGTCGTCCCTCGCTGCACCACGCTCTGGAGGCTCTCTGGAGGTGGGGAGCTGGAGCAGTCACAGAGCTCACCGCATCTGTCTTCCGTCTCACGGGGATCACTGTCGCTTTGTGCCTGGTGTCCACTGACTTCGTGACCATTGTTCCATGTGTTTTGTCTGGTTTTGGTTTATTTTTGTTTGTTCTGTTTGACTTTCCCAAGCAAGAGAGTAAATCCCGGCCCCGTTACTCCATGTTGGCCAGAAGCAGAAGCTGTGCTGTCTTTTGTATTCATCTGTATCCACAAACAAATGCTCTAGGATGCTATTTGCACCAAAATATTAAAAGGGTTTACCTGTTTGTGGAATTATGAATTTTTATTGTGTGTGCATGTCTGTGAGACTTCTGTTTTCTACAAAAAACGTATTACTTTTTTATGGAATGAGACTAATAACACAATTTTTTTCTAAAAACAGTTCTATTCCATCAGCATGAGCTCCACCCTGGATAGCAGGTGCCCCTAGGATAAACCACAGGCTCTGTTACCACCTGATACACTCCAGGGTGGCATGATCATGGCTGCACCCCTCAGCTCACAGGGCAAAGCTGGTGAAGTGCTGCCAAGCAGTTTCCCGGGGCAGCGAGAGAATGTGGAGCCATACCCAGAACCTCCAGAGCGCGCTGCTTCCATGAGGCAGCCACTAACACCCTGGAGCCACAGGTTCTCAAAGGTTTAAATATTTTCACGGAACACAGTGTTCAAATACAAACACACTGACACCCTTCAGGCACACACACGCACGCACACACACACGCGCACACACATCATCTACAAGAAATAACACCAATGTGGAAGCATTTTCACTGATACCTCAGAGAAGGGAGACTGAGAAAATTCTAATGGTCAAAGAATAGAGAATAAAAATTAATGATATAGTTCAGTTTTCACCTTGAAGATATGTAAAATACCTTGCACTTTCTAACACTTTGTCTTTATTACAGTATATAAAGAAATTATACCCTAATATTTATAGGGGGCTTTCAAAGAATTAATTTCTAAAGACATTCATTTCTGACCCTTAAAAAATAAATTTTAAGTCCTTTATCAGTAAATCAATCCACCACAGTTAAGAAGGGAATCCCATATCTCCAGTGAGAGGGGACAGGTCATTTTGTTTTTAATGTAAGTTGGAAGAAACCTCAGTTCCTATTAATAAAATTAATATAACATACTATGACTAACTATATCATGCTATCCAGTCATTTCTTTAAAAACTGATCAGAATGAGTATGAAGTCAATTCAAGCCCGTTAACTCTAGGATTGAAGGACCAGTCACCTAACATCCCACTCTCGAAATGCCCAGTAGTACTTACTATGAAGAGGTGGCGTGATGATCTTCATTTCTAACAAAGGCGTCCACATGGGGTAGAGCACTAAGAAAGTGGAAGTGTGCGTTTGTTGGAAGCAACCCTAGCATGCTGGTACGTACCATCTTCCTCAGCTCTTGGTTGGAAACAATAATGACATTTGGAGGGTCCCCGATGGCAGTGGCAGCTCCTCCAATGTTTGTGAAGATCACTTCTGCAATCAGGACTTGTCTGGGATCAAGGTTGAGCACCTCACACAACCTGTCACAAATGGAGGAAATGAAAGTAGTCCCACCTGCACATTGTGAAAGGCTCACGTGCAACCCAGAGATTTTTAAGGCACTTGTTCGTACAAGGGAGGTGCGCGCGCACACACACACACACACGCACACCTGGGGAGGGCAGCACTGGGGGGAATGAACAATGCAACAACCCTTGCAGGCCACAGCTCACTCCAAGAGCTACATTCCTTCCCAGAGTGAGCCTCCAGCCGCCAAACCCTCAGTGTGATCAGGTGCCCTTTCCCCAGCGCTCCCAGCTGGTGCTGTGGGGGTCGGTGTGGAGGCGGAGCGGATGGCTCACACAGGGCCTGCTGACTCAGCCCCTTTCCCACCTCCTGCTTCCTGGACACCAAGGCCCTAGGTTCTCTCCTCGTCCCCTCCCTTTGTTTCATTCATCTATGCATTTTCTATTTATTTACTTTCTATTGCTATAATACATACTAGATATACACATACATACGTACATTTTCAGGGTACGTATGATAATGTAATAATTCCCATAATCAAACCAGGTAACTGGGATACCCATCCCCTTAAATATCAATCTGTTCTTTACCCTGGGAGCATTCCAGTTATTGTCTTCTAGCTGTGTTGGAGTACAATCGATTCGTGTCAACTGTATTCACCCCACAGACCTGTCAGGCCACACTCTACAGCTGTGGAGCTCCACCGTGGCCTCACGAGATTTGTGCTGGAATCTGGGAGTCCTATGGCTTGGCCAGCGCAGACCAGTGCCTGGGAGTCGGCCCGGGCAGTGGTGCTCTATAGCTCCCCAGGGGCCCAGCATGTCCACAGCTAGGAAACATTGCCCTAAAGAAAGTGCAGAAGGCACATCACAGCGTCCCCCACACCTGCTCATCCTCACAGCCCACTCCCACACAGGACCCAGCCTCGGGTCTCACTCAGAGGCCACCCACCACCTCCCAGCCATCAGCTCAGAGTGAGGCCGGCCACACAGCCTCCCCTCTGCTGGCATGAGGAGCATAGGCCCATGGAGCCGTGTGGGAGCTGAGGAAGGAACGTGCCCGGGGACTGAAGCAGGGGTGGCTCCACAGATGAGACTCTGCCCCGAGGCAGCGGCGGCACAGTGCTAAGGAAGCTCCCAGGATCTGCTTCTAGCAAGAAAATACGTGTGTGCAGCAGTCAACAGTGCCAGACCAGGCAGGGCGGTGCACCCATCTCAATGGGACTAGCTGTTAACTATAAGGACCAAAGCCACTTAGTCCAGACAAAGGGGAAGAATGTGGCCAGCACTTACAAAGCCATAATGCATATGGTCAGATAAATAGGGAATCTTAGAACACCAGCACCGGAATCTTGAAAGATGTAAATTTTTGACTAATAAATGGAAGTACTGCTCTAACAACATGACAAAAGCAGTTCCGAGTAGTGAGGATATGAACAAATTGTGGCAAGGCTGAGATACTTCTCAGCTGCCCGGGGATGCTGGGAACAAAGTGCCCAGTGCACCCCAGCCCTGGAACCCTGCTCTCACCAGGCTGCCATGGGGAGCGTGAGGATATGCGGCAGTCTTCAAGCCAGGGCAGCAGCGGAGTCATGCTGGTTAGAGGGGGCAGATGGGCCTGGCTCTTGTCCCCCGACACATCCAGAAGGCACAGTTTGGTGCCGTCACTAGTGCATGTGACAGTGTACAGCAGCCTTCAAACATGTTCACGCCCTCCCTCATTGACTCTCCACCCAGGCACTGAGAGGGGCGGTACCACACCCTGCGAGGAGGCTGAGAGCCTGGGGTCCCTCCCATGCCACACAGGGCGTGACAGTCTAGCCCAGCTTGCAGGAGCCTGGGTATGAACCTGAGTCTCCACACGGAGGCAGCAGATGGCTGGGGATGCTGCATGCTCCTCCCAGCGGCGCTGGCCACTGTGTGCTCCTCCCCACCCCACTCCTCCTCTAAGAGCCACCACTGTTCAAACACAAAAGGCATCCCCCAGATTAACCCAGAGCCCTGGAAGCAGCCCCACAGGGCCTTGGAACTTGCTGTGTGTCCCATGCTTTGTGTCCAGGCAGGCCCGGTGTCTCACAGAGCCCTCAGAATGCCAGCTCAGGTTAATCTCTTTGCCGTTATGACCCAGATCAGTGCACCTGAAGTGACTTGTTCAAGACACCCTATTTCAAACAGGACCGGAGGGTGACTCCCTGAGGGGCCCCTCTCTCACCTTCTCGCCCTCTGTGTCCTCAGGGCCAGCCCCGAGGCTGACATGCTAGGGAGTCATATTTAAAATAGAGAGCATACATATGGAAACACACAGGTCCATGCCTTCAGAAGGGGCCCACACGGGGACCAGGACCACAGCTCACGCTTCAGAAGATTCTGGGTAAACAGGCCTATGGCCCCCAATAATGATGGATGATTAAAGTGGATGGAATTAAAAGAAACAGAATTGAATTGAGGGGGTGGGGTGGGGGGTGGGGTGGGGTTGGGTTGGGTGAGGTTGGGTTGGGTTGAACTTCCTTTTCCCAGAGTTGCCCTACAAAGCTTTGCCAGACTGAACCTTGTTCTGCTGAGCCCCATCGGTCCTGCAACCCTCCAAGCCTCTGATGAGGAACCTTGCAGTGGCTGTTCCACCTCCCCCAGCTACATGACCCTGTGAGCCCTCGGCATGTGTGTGACCTGCCAAGCCAGCCCAGGTGGCAGATGGTGATGGAGCAGAACAGGGACAAGGACTCCTGGCACTTGGGCACCTGGTGGTCTGGGGTGAGCTGTTCTTTTTTTGTGTGTGAGACAGAGTCTCGCTCTGTTGCCCAGGTTGGAGTGCAGTGGCGCAATCTCCGCTCACTGTAACCTATGCCTCCCGGGTTCAAGGGATTATCCTGCCTCAGCCTCCTGAGTAGCTGGGATTACAGGCGCATGCCGCCACACTCAGCTAATTTCTGTATTCTTAGTAGAGACAGGGTTTCACTAGGGCTGAGCCATCCTTGTCCGCGTGTCTCCCCATGAGACTACAATCTCCAGCAAAGCACAGCCTATGTCTTCCACCTCCCGCAGACATTTCTGCCACCAGCTTCTGAGGCCCCACTGCTGGTAGCATGTGCTGCAGTCACACAAAGCAGACACGAGCTGGACTGGAATGCACTGAGCCGGGGGCTCAACCGCCCACCTTTTCATGCACCTGAGAATGGAGCCTGGAGCCAGGCTGTGCAGCCAGAGCCTGGCCACAACCCCCACGGCAGAGGCGCTTTGCATACCTTATGGTCACAGGCGTGAAGAGGAGCATGGTGGTGACGTTGTCCAAGAAGGCAGAGAGGACGGCCGCGATGAGACACAGCATGATGATCATGGCCCACACCCGTCCCCGGGAGAGCCGGTATGCCTGGCCGCACGCACAGAGCACAAGCCAGTCAGCAGGCTCACAGAACAGAGGCAGCCTTTCATTAGTGACTTTAAGAACAGGGAGCCAAACGAACACTGCCCCATGGGTTAAGACGTAGACCCACGGAGTCCTGGGGGGCCGAGAGGAGACAGTGCTGGCCACCGAAGTTCCTAGACTTTCTACACCCTCCCAAGCCAGCACTGTCACCCCTCTGATCCTCCTCCTTCACACAGCCCCTGTCATGGTTAATTTGTCACAAGGTGATGACCCTCAGTCCCCGTAATGCCATCGGTATTCTGGTTAGACAACCTGGGCTTTGACATTTGGGATCCACGTGAGCCTAGTGTCTGCTGATCTCTAGGGAACTAAGGGACACTTTTAATAGCAAGGAGTAATAGACCAAATATCTACCTGGCATGTGTAAGATGGGGCACAAAGATGACAAAAATCACAGCACGGTTCTATCATTCAGAGTTTGCAAAGGGCTTTGTTGAGTATTTTTTTTTTTTTTTTTTTTTTTTTGAGACAGAGTCTCAATCTGCCACCCAGGCTGGAGTTCAGTGGTGTGATCTTGGCTCACTGCAGCCTCCACGCCTGGGGTTCAAGCAATTCTCTCGCCTCAGCTTCCCGAGTAGCTGGGACCACAGGTGCATGCCACCACGCCCAGCTAGTTTTTTTATTTTTAGTAGAGATGAGGTTTCACCATGTTCACCAGGATGGTCTCAATCTCTTGACCTTATGATCCACCCACCTCAGCCTCCCAAAGTGCTAGGATTACATGTGTGAGCCACTGCGCCCGGCCTGTTGAGTAATTTTAAAAAAGACCTTTTCAGTTTCAAAAACTAGACATATTCAAGCACAGCACTAGACTGCATTAGCAGGGCATGGTACACAATGAGCTCTCCTCTTGCCAACCCTGAATGACAGGTCAGGTACAAATCCTGGAGGCTAGAGCTGGCTGATGAAGCTCCCCAGGGTTCCAGTTAAAAACATAAATGTGTATATATTCAATATTTAGGAAGTAATCATGGAAATTATTTCACCAAAAAGCAAAGTAATCAGAAGCTAATGGCTTGAAATATTGGGATACTCTAATATGCAAAACAATTTTTGATGTATAGCTCTCACCAGACAATTTAAATAATACACAAACATTCAACCTGAGGACCCTTTTCCTTGACCACCTCCTTCATTTATTTACTGAGCAGCTGAAAGTACCACTCAGAGCCATACAACTTAACACAGCCAGCATACCCTGCCCTGCAGAAGTAACCTTTAAAAGAAGGATGGAATTTTTAAATGTTTGTTCCCTAAATATATAACGTCAGAAAAATACAGATGTAAATTAATCAGTATGGAATTATTAAATGCAACATCATACCTACCTTTACAGCACAGTAATCGAAAAATCCCGTTTCTGAAAATATGGCTACTAAGATCATCTATGGGGAAAAGAGAAGAAGACGACAAGGATAACCTTTTAGCAGGACACCATATTAAAACGACATCAGCATGATCCGTTACACATTTGAGCTGTGGCCTCTGAAAGCCACCACATCGCCAGGCTCCCCACTCTGAGATGCAGAAACACCGTCGCTTCCTGGAGTAGTACACTCACTTCCTGGCACACTCACTTCCTGGTACACTCACTTCCTGGCACACTCACTTCCTGGTACACTCAGAAACACCATCACTTCCTGGAGTAGTACACTCACTTCCTGGTACACTCAGAAACACCGTCGCTTCCTGGAATAGTACACTCACTCGCTCCTCGAATGGAGCCTCTTGCTAGCGGTTTTGTGCCTACATGTGTGTCTGGGGATTTGTCCTCAAGGCACATTACCATCCCATCCGATCCTCAAAAAAAAAAATCAGGTGTTCTTTTCACCCTCTGTTTTATGGACTAGGAAATGGGATCAGAGTGCAAGGGGGTTTGCTCTCAGCCACAAAGGCAGAAGCGGGGCGGGGGCCGGCACGTGGCCTTCTGTACCTACGTGTCCACACAAGCAACACTTAAACATTCTGTGATGCTAAAACTGGGTTCGATTTTGTTTTCTAAAATAATTAAACTGATTTTTGTCACCAGTTTGGGAGCAGTTGTATTGAAACGATCACTCCCTGGGTTCCAGGTGAGCCCAGAATGCCTGTTGCCTGTTTCTTTACAGTGAGGATGATGAGTTGGTGTGAAAACAGCCATCCTGGATCCTAATAAAAAGTCATGTCCCAGATATTCCGAATTTTATCAACCCGACATTGCAACTAGTGAATGTTCTGGAAGTTCCTCTGCTTCACCTCTTAGATGGCAGTCACCATGTGTTGAACTTGGAATGAGAAGATGCAAGTTCAGATCCTGATTCCACCACTTAAAAATAGTCCGAACTTGAGGCCGGGCACGGTGGCTCACACCTGCAACCCCAGCACTTTGGGAGGCCGAGGCGGGCAGATCACGAGGTCAGATCGAGACCATCCTGGCTAACACGGTGGGGAAACCTTGTCTCTACTAAAAAAAAAAAAATACAAAAAGCTGGGCATGGTGGCGAGCACCTGCAGTCTCAGCTACTTGGGAGACTGAGGCAGGAGAATGGCATGAACCCAGGAGGCGAAGCTTGTAGTGAGCTGAGATCGCGCCACTGCACTCCAGCCTGGGCAACAGGGCGAGACTCTGTCTCAAAAAAAAAAAGAAAAAAAAAAGTCCGAACTTGAACAAAAATATGAATTAACCTTTCTGTCCCTCAGTTTTCTCACCTTACCTCTGAATGTTCTATACTTCATCAGGTTGTGAAAATGCAATATAATTATTCAAATTACAATACCTGGTAAACAAGAGTCCCAGTAGACACTACTGTCTCTTAAATAAACTATAGAAAACAAAAATGTCCCCAGTCAATTTAGACCCAGTGTAAATATCCATCGTGTCCAGAGTGACTATCAATGTTCATCCTCACCCAAAAGGCCACTGAGAGCTGACGCTGGAACATGGGGCTTCGCACACCAATGGACATGCACGAGCAGACAGGCGTGTGCAGACCCGTGTGCCGTTTACATATTTGCTGACAGAACCACCATGGGAGACTGGAACTCAGGGATGGGGGTAAATGGCCCTGTGGGTGGTCGGTTGCCAGGAAATGGGGGAGAAAAGGCAGACACCTGGTTGTAATGACTCTGCACCCTGCAGTTCCAGAATTGCAGAACCTGCAAGTGCTCGTGGAACTGAATTCTGACGAGAAAAAAATACCAAAGCCATTTTTATAGGCTGAACTGTGTCCTTCAAAATTCATATGTTCACATCCTAGCCCCCAGTACCTGGGAACATGACATATTTGGAGTGACAGCGTTGAAGGAGGTAATTAAGTTAAAATGAGGTCGTTAGGGTGAGCCCTGATTCAGTGTGGCTGGTGTCCTTGTAGGAGGAGGGTCTCAGGACTCAGAAACACACGGGGAAGACAAAGTGAAAACGCAGGGAGAAGGTGCCATCTACAAGCCCAGGAAGAGAGGCTTCAGAGAAACCAACCCTGCCCACACCGTGATCTCGGACTTCCAGCCTCCAGAGCTGTGAGGAAATACATTTATATTATTTAAGCCACACGGTCTGTGGTACTTTGTTACATAGTCCTAGCAAACTAATATAGCATTCCTTTTTTAAAACAGGCATATCTCAGGGATATCTGGCACATTTCCTCTCTTCTATCCAGATGCCCAAACTCTGTATACGTCTCAGGCCCGATACAAATATGAGTTACTCTGTGAAGCCGGGGCTAGAACACTCGCCTGCCTCCCTGAGCACTGCCCACAGAGGATGGCGGCACAGTCTCCAGTCAGGTCACATGGAAGCCTAACGTAGCTGGGCCTTCTGTTATGTTGGCCAGCCTTGGGAGGGATGAAACGTTAGCAAGGAAAATGAGGATCTATAGTGCCCAGCTGTACACAGAGCAAGTCTTCTAGCCCAGAGAGGAAGAGCCCTCCTGCAGACCACTGGACTGTGTGGGGTCTGCTCAGGAACACGTGGGCTGCCCCTGCTGCCAGGCCCTGGCCAGGCTCCACTGGTTCTCGTTAAGCTGGGTCATGACTCGTGTCCCACACTAGCCCGCTTGGGCATTTCGAGTTCCTGCAGGTGGCGCTGGTGGCATTCCTCACAGCACAGAGTGGCCACTGGGTAATATGATGAATTAGCAAACACCCGAACTACTGCTTAGGAGTGACACCTTCCTTTACTCACATCATGAAAGGTACTCTCTCTCCCACTGAAACTCCTACATGGTTTATTTATTTGGGATAGTCCATTTTTTTATTTTAAGGGCAGTAACTCAAAAGAATTGCTAGCTTTTCTAAATGGCAATATGATTTCATCATCAGACATGCCTTGGGCTGGAATTCTCCCGCTAACGAACCATAGCCCCGTTCCGTTCCTCCTCAGGAGAGATTCCGGAGACCCGCTGTTGTGGGAAGCCAGGGACCCCGAACGGAGGGACCGGCTAAAGCCATGGCAGAAGAACATAAATTGTGAAGATTTCATGGACATTTATTAGTTCCCCAAATTAATACTTTTATAATTTCTTACGCCTGTCTTTACTGTAATCAGCTCTGAACATAAATTGTGAAGAGTCCATGGACACTTATCACTTCCCCAGTCAATACCCCTGTGTTTTCCTATGCCTGTCTTTATTTAATCTCTTAATCCCGTCATCTTCTTTGTAAGCTGAGAAGGATGAATGTCGTGCCTCAGGACCCTGTGATTGTATCAACTGCACAAATTGTTTGTAGAGCATGTGTGTTTGAACAATATGAAATCTGGGCATCTTTAAAAAAGAACAGGATAACAGTGATGTTCAGGGAACAAGAGAGGTAACTTTGAACTGGCCACTGGTGATCCGGACGGAACAGAGCTACATTCCCCCTCTTTCATAAGCAAATAGGAGAAATATCGCTGAATTCTTGTTCTCAGGAACATCCCTGAGAAAGAGAATGCGCCCTGAAGGTAGGGCTACAGCCCCTTTTAAGGCGTCCCGTCTTTTATGGTTGAAGCCAACGGGATGAAATAAGCCCCGGTCTCCTACAGCGCTCTCAGGCTTACGAGGATGGGAAAATTCCCGCCTAATAAATTGTGGTCAGACAGATTGTCTGCTCTCAAACCCTGTTTCCTGATAAGATGTTATCAATGACAATGCATGCCGAAACTTCATTAGCAATTTTAATTTCCCCTCATCCGGTGGTCCTGTGATCTCCCCTGCCTCCATTTGCTTTGTGATATTTTATTACCTTGTGAAGCCTGTGATCTCTGTGACCCACACCCTATTCGTGCGCTCCCTCCCCTTTTGAAAATCACTAATAAAAACTTGCTGGTTTTACAGCTCGGGGAGCATCACGGATCCTGCCGACATGTGATGTCTCTCCCGGACACCCAGCTTTAAATTTCTCTCTCGTGCTCTTTCCCTTTATTTCTCAACCCAGCGGAGACACTTAGGAAATAGAAAAGAACCCACGTTAAACATTGGGAGTGGGTTCTCCCGATAACCGGCACTGACACTTCTCAGTCAAGCCCTAGGCACTGTGTCTTTAACATAATGAAGGATCCTCAGCAGTGGAGGCCAGAGAAGGCCCGGTTACCGCAGGCGTGGAGCCCAGTCCCACGGGGAGGGCTGTGATTACCATGCCAAACAGCAGGGCCAGCGTCTCAAAATCAATCCACTCCACCACGTGGGTCAGGCTGGGTCTCTGCAATCAAAGCACAAATTTGCCAATTAATCCGTGCACCGCCATCCCAGTGATGAGCCTAACGACGCGCTGCCCCCTGCTGCAGACCCACTCAGTGGGTGGACCAGGGTTGGAAATCTCACCATCCACTTGCCTTTGAAGTTGGATTATATCGTCGCTGAAAAACAGTCTTGACCCAGGACATCTATAATGTCAAACCTATGCATTTAGTATACATTTTTTCTAGCCCCTGCCTCTGGCAGCTCCCACATGCAGGACTGGCCCTGGTTGCATTCCCAGTGGCGTCTGTATGTGCTCTCTGAAGCACCGTGCCTGAGGCCAGATGACGGGAACTGGCATGGCCACCTGTCCCACTCTCAGCTGGGTGCCAGCACTGCCTCTCAGACAACTCTGAGCCTCGATCCCCAGTGGCCACTGTTCTCTGTTGTTTCCCTACATTTGTTCCCCATGTCCCTGCCAGAGAGGCCCTGCTCAGATCCAAACAGGACACCCTCATCCCCAAACACACCTCTCCAGGGCCTCCTGATCTCTGCAGGACAGACCCTGACCCCACTGACTTCCACCTTTCTGCACCAGCTAGGATGGTCCCCTCTAGTTCCAACACCCAGATCCAGCCCCACCACAGCCCAGCTCCTCAGCCCTAGGCAGACATGCCCATGAGCAGCCTTTCCTCAGGCACGGTGAGGAATCACACCACTGGGATGTGAGCGTGTGACAAAACCTAATGAAAAATACTCTTGATGCTGTAGTTTGTTAGTTCATACCTCTAGCCTGGTTCTTGGGCAAAAACATGGACGTGGCATATAAGATAGTGAAAAAAAACAGCAAAAGCCTGAATCCCGGAACGTCTTTGAGCTGACGTTCCACTGAGTGGTGAGCCAGGGATCGGGACTGTGACAACTTACGTCGCCAATCACAGCCAGCGCTGCCAGTGCCGCCAGGGAACCCAGCATGGCCGCCAGCGTTCTGTGCACGATCTGGAAAGAAGCACAGGAAATTACTGCGTTCCGGTCCGCGAGGGAGTTAGCCCACACGAAGGCCTGCGTGGACGTGAGGGGCCTGTATCTGCCACTGTGTACACATCTATTCAGATGACGAGTCACGGGTCTGGATGCTTCAGGCCTGGACACCCACAGACACACACAGCGACCACCAACCTGCCTTCTTAGGGAACCTGCTTGCATTTGCTAAATCATTAGATGACCCTGATAAAGCAGCGGAGGGCCGGGTAGAGCATGTCCTCTAAGAAAGGCCATAGCAAACTGTCATTAATTATTTGCCACACGCTCCCTTGGCAACTGGCCCATTCGTTCAGCAATATAAATCAGTTCCGTCCAGTTACTAGGCTGCTGTGAAACCAAAGGTACACAGTCCAACACTTCATCAAATTGAGACTTCCGTGTTATCACAAAAGCATCTTTTCTATTTGATTATAATTCACATCGAAGTGGAATTTCTAAGACAAAATATGGGAAAAGGCCAAGATGTGGCGAACTGGAGCCCTCATCCATTGCTAGTGGGAATGTAAAATGGGCTAGCCACTGTGGAAAGCAGTTTGACAGTTTCTTACGAAGTTAAACATAAATTTACCGTATGACCCAGCAATTCTACTAGGAATCCACCCAACAGAAATGAAAACACATGTCCACACAAAGCACTGATGCTCACAACAACATTATACAAAGGAGGCGAAAACTGGAAGCATTCCAAATGTCCATCTGTGGTGAAGGGACAGGGAAAATGCGGCACGGCTCGCACATGGATGAGTGCTGAGAAGTGATGCTGGGGAAACAAGCCAGACGCAAAAGACGGGGTCGGTCCATCTATATGAACATTCCAGAAAAAGTAAATTTAGAGAAACAGAAAGATCAGGGCTACCCAAGGCTGGGGAAAGCAACAAAGATTGACTAGAAAGAGGTCCCAGGGATCCTTATGGGGTGATGAAATGTTCTAGAACTTGTCATGGTTGCAGAATTCTAAATCTGGTAAAAATAATTTAATCGTACATTTCCAAAGGGTGAAACTATGGTATTTGAATTATACATCAATAAATTTATTTTAAAAAAATTCAAAAAGAATGTAACAAGAACAAGTGGAAAATTAAACGCTAGCATGCATTGTTCATTTCTTAATCCCCTAAAGGGACTTTCACTCCATTTTTTCACGGCTTCCATCTCACAGAACCTGACTCCCTTTACCAGTTATTACCTGAAACTCAAATTCTGACTAAAATTATTTCATTTATAATGTGTACTACTAGATTCAAAGTTCTTTTTTCAAGAAATGTGATACTAGGTGTTGGCTTTTCACAGTTTCAGTTTTTAAGAGTTGTTCTGTTTTAAATGTAAATACCTAAAATCCAGTAAGTTGCTACCAAACTCTAATAATTCCTTCTGTTCGTTCTCTGCTTTTCAGTCTCAGTTTAGGACCCTTTTTCTCGAGACGGAGTCTCACTGTGTTGCCGAGGCTGGAGTGCAGTGGCACAGTGTCAGCTCGCTGCAACCTCTGTCTCCTGGGTTCAAGCAATTCTCCTGCCTCAGCCTCCCAAGCAGCTGGGATTACAGGTGCCCACCACCACACCCGGCTAGTTTTTATATTTTTAGTAGAAACGGGGCTTCACCATGTTGGCCAGGCTGGTCTCCAACTCCTGACCTCAGGTGACCCACCTGCCTCGGCCTCCCACAGGGCTGGGATTACCGGCATGAGCCACTGCGCCCGGCCAGTTTAGGACCCATTTTAAGGATACTTCCTTATCCGATGCCGAGGGTGGCCCCAGGAAGCAGGCAGGGCAGGCTTTCATCCCTGACTTGACAGCCATGGCACCAAGCGTGGAGGTTCACCGGCTGGACATGGTGAGCAGGCGCCAGAGCCAGGCTGCCCTCTCTGCCCTACACAGCGCAAGGCGAAGACACTTCCCACTTCGGTATGTCTCTTTTTTGGCACTTAATTAAGTCTTCATGAGAAGAACAGGATGTGATAGCCCCTGGATTAGAACAGGATGTGACAGCATGCAAACACAGCCCCTGGATGACAGGAGGAAGTCACTGCAGGGATGAGCAGAGAGGGATGCCGTCTGCTCCAAGCCAGCCCTGTGACCTCCTCACCTGTGACACGTTCCTTTCTTCTGGCTGAACCTTTGGGCTAACTTTGTCTGCAGGGAAAAGAGACTTCCAGTAAAGAACAAAAAGCCGGCCTGGAACGGTAGCTTACACCTCTAATCCCACCACTTTGGGAGGCCAAGGCAGGTGGATCACTTGAGGCCAGGTGTTCAAGACCAGCCTGGCCAACATCACGAGACCTCATCTCTAACAAAAGTTAAAAAAAAAAAAAAAAATAGCCAGGCGTGGTGGCGTACACCTATAGTCCCAGTGACTCGGGAGGCTAAGGTGGGAGAATTGCTTGACCCCGGGAGGCAGAGGCTACAGGGAGCCAAGATCACACCACTGCACTCCAGCCTCGGCAACAGAGCAAGACACCGTCTCAAACAAAAACCAAACAAGAGTGAAGAGCCAAGACTGCCGGCCACTGGTCAGCAGGACTGGATAGCAGCAAAAATAACTAATTGTTATTGAGCACCCACTGCTGTGCACCTGGCCCTGGATTAAGTGCTCTGCACACACCATCTGCACCTTTCACGGCGACTGCATGAGGTAGAACGATGATAACTCACGGTGCAGAGGAGGAAACAGTCTCAGCAACACTGAGTAATTGTCCCTGTGTCAGAAAACAAAGGACACGCACACCCAGGATGCAGACCAGCATTTTCTTACACCAGAGCACCTCCTCTCTCCTCGTGGGGCCTCGTTTGCTCGTCTGTAAAATCAGAAAACTGCACTCCATACCTCAAGGAGCCCTCAGCTCTGGAGGAGGTCCGTGGACATCATGAAATCGAGTCCTAGCACCTAACACACAAATGAGTAAACGACAAGGCAGACAGCCACGGCCCTCTCAGGACAGGCAGGCTCATCGTGGTCTCACTGGCACCCCAGCACCCGCGCTAAGTTCGCTCCGCCCGCTGCCACTATCAACACCTTTCTCCCCTCCCTCGTCACACACACCGGCTTGCACGTGATCCACACGTGAGCATCTCTGTGACCCACAGTGAGTGCTTAGGACATGCGGATGCAGCTGTCCCTGCCCAGAAACCCACCCTCTTCCACCAGCTCAGGGGCCCCACACACCATGTGGGAGGAGAAACCGTCACTTGCCATTTAAAAAATGGAAAAGCACGCTGATGATCAGCCTCTAGGACGTGGAATAAAACTTTTTCAACTACGTGGCTCTCGAAGAAGATGAGTTCATTACTTCAGATACAATGATGGACATTCCTAAATTTCTATGCTTAAGAAACAGAATTTTCAGCTATTAGAAATAAAAAAAATTCTGATAAATGGGCCTAAAGAGTAAAAATAATAAAAAGTCCTAAAAGATGCCTTAAAACAGGGGTCCCCAAGCCCCCAACCCCGCCACGGACTAGTACCAGGGCCGCACAGTGGGAGGTGAGCTGGGCAAGTCAGCATGACCGCCTGGGCTCTGCCTCCCGTCAGGTCAGCGGCAGCATCAGATTCTCATAGGAGCATGAACCTTACTCTGAACTGCACATGGGAGGGATCTACGCTGCACGCTCCTTATGAAAATCTAACTAATGCCCGATGATCTGAGGTGGAACAGTTTCATCCCAAAATGATGTCCCACCCCACGGTCCATGGAAAAATTGTCTTCCATGAAACGTCCCTGGTGCCAAAAAGGCTAGGGACCACTGACTTAAAGGACTGTATAAAGGTTCTCTTCCTGCCCATGCTCTGGGAAATACAGCACACCGCTTCCTACACCCAAACCGCTTCCCAGGCACAGAACGCACCACCTAGCTTCCCAGGCACCGCCTCACAGACCAGCCACCGTTCTACCACCACACTCCCCTCCAGTCGAGCACACGCTCTGCGCCTCCAGAAATCTTCGGCAGGAGTCCGGCTGTGAGCTCCTGTGAGCGTGGTGTGCCTCTCTTGGTTTCTTCAGTGCTCTGCAGGGCAAGCAATACCTGCTGAGCGAAGGAGGAGCAGAAAACACATAAACAGGGCCTGCAAAACAGCAGGCCAGCATCACTTCTTGGGAGAAGAAAGGAAAGATTTTGGGGGTAGCCCCAAGGAAATTATCTAGGGGATCTCTGGTCTTCATGCATCGCCCCTCCATGGTCACACAGGTTTACAGCTGGCCGTGATGTAAATTCCAGATAGGTGGGATACTGGGCAGACAGAAAGACAAAACTTCTTTTGGTTACCATTTGCATGGAAATGGTAACAGAGACAGCAGGGATAGCTAAAGTTATATCAGACAAAATAGACTTTAAGTCAAAAACTGTCTCTAGAGACAAAGGCAGCCATTACCCTCCCTCTTCCACTGATAAAAGGGTCAATTCAACAGGGACCTATCACAGTTATAAGTAAGTACACACCCAAAACCAGAGCACCGAACTATACTAGCAGTATTAACAGAGCTAAAGGGAGACACTGACAGCAATGCAATGTAATAGGGGACTTCAATGTCCCATTTAAGATAATGGATAGAACATCCAGACAGGTAACAGCAGATTTGAACAGCACTGTACGCCAAGTGGACCTAACAGAGATAGACCGAACTTTCCACCCAAAAGCGAAAAATAGATATTCTTCTCTAGCATACACAAAAAATTCTTCAGGATATATCACATATTAGGTCACAAACAAGTCTTAACAAATTTTATTTCTTTTAAAAAATTTTGTCTTAGAGATAGTCTCCCTCTGTCACCCAGGCTGGAGTGCAGTGGTCCAATCAAAGCTCCCTGCAGCCTTGAACTCCTGGACTTAAGCAATCCCCCTGCCCCAACCTCCTGGATAACTAGGACCACAAGTGTGCACCACCACGTCCAGCTAATTTTTTTTTTTTTTTTGCAGAGATGGAAGTCTTGCTATGTTGCCCAAGCTGGTCTTGAACATCTGGT